CGGTCCCCGGCCCCCCCCCCCCCCCCCCCACACTCACCCACTCTCAAGTACTGTTAAAGCTACCAGCCTCGAGTTAGAGGGGCTGCTATCCTGAGGTCGAGGTCTCTGCTTTGGCTGTGTGCACACTCAGTGCCCTTGGTCAGTGACTCTGGTCTAGCCACCGTGCCTGAGTGGGAGATGACCAATAGCTCTGGACCCTGGGGTGAAGGCTGCTGTGACAGTAAGAAAAGCGGACGCACAGCTTCACCTGGTCCCCGTCCTTTGGTGGCAGATGTTAAGGAAACCTTTTGGGGAGCTGAGCTTATGGTGGGGCCACAATAAAGCTTTAAGAACCTGTACAGTAGAGTTCCAGCCCTAATTATGAAGCCTTACTGGAAAGAACTGGGACTGCCACCACCCACTGTCTGCACCGAACTCACAGGAGGCAGCAGCCGGCTCTGGAGCAGGATGGACCTTAGATCCCTCTGCCTACAGAACCTTCAATAAATCAATAACAGGTGTCTTTGCTTGCGACCCTGCCCCAGTCTACACCACCTGGGGTCCCCAGCTCCGAGCGCAAGGGAGCCAACAAACTCTCTGTGGAGGGAAACCCTTTGTGACCACACCTCCCTCTGTTATTTTTACATTTCCCGCAACCACTGAACCTTGGGACCACCGACAGAAAGGCGCCATTGGTGCAACCCCGCCTCTTCCGCTACAACGCTTGGTCCGCTTCGATCCCGCCCCTTCCTCCGTCCCGACCCCGCCTTTTCCCGCCGCCGGCTCGCAATGTCCGGGGTCTTGATGCTTTTCTAACCCCAGCCCTACATCGAAGTTCCCGCACGTGGGAGGCCCGGCCGGACCTTGAGCGCGATGCCTCGCTCGCCCCGTTGCCGGGCCGTGCGCGCTCTGCTGCGCAGTCGATACCGCGAGGTGTGGCCGCTGGCAACCGTCGTGCGGCGCCTGGGACCTGAGGGCAGGCGACTTGTACAACCCGGAGACCCAAAAGTCTTCCGCACGTTGGTGGCCCAGTGCCTAGTGTGTGTGCCCTGGGGCTCGCAACCTCCACCTGCTGACCTTTCGTTCCACCAGGTGGGCCTCCGGGTTGGATCCCTGTGGGTCGGGGGCGGAGAGCCGGGAGGACGCGGGACAGCGCGTCTAGCTCAAAACCCTCTTCTCCTTACCAGGTGTCATCACTGAAGGAGCTGGTGGCCAGGGTCGTGCAGAGACTCTGCGAGCGCGGAGAGAGGAACGTGCTGGCTTTTGGCTTTGCGCTTCTTAACGGAGCCCAAGGCGGGCCACCCATGACCTTCACAACCAACGTGCGCAGCTATTTGCCCAACTCGGTGACTGAGTCTCTGCGCGTCAGTGGTGCATGGATGCTTCTGCTGAACCGAGTGGGCGACGACTTGCTGGTCTACCTGCTGGCCCGCTGCGCGCTTTACCTGCTAGTGCCCCCGAGCTGTGCCTACCAGGTGTGCGGCCCACCCCTGTACCAAATCTGTGCCACCGCGGATACTTGTCCCTCTGTGCCCCCCAGTTACAGGCCCACACGATCCGTGGGCAGAAATTTTACTCATCTTGGATCCACACACTCGGTCAGGAACAGCAATCACCAGGAAGCATGTAAACTCTTGCCCTTGCCATCTCGAGGCACAAAGCGGAGTCTAAGCATCACCAATAGAAGTGTGCCTTCATCCAAGAAGGCCAGGTGCGATCTGGCCCAGAGACTGGAGAAGGAACCCGACAGGCAGGCGGTTCCAACCCCATCAGACAAAACAAGGGTGCCAAATCCTGCTGAGTCCCCTGCAGTACCTATTAGTAGAACTACCAAGGAAGATTTGTCTTCCGGAGGGAAGGCACTTGGCCTGAGTCGCCCCGGGTCAGCGTGCTGTAAACACAAGCTCAGTTCCACATTCCTGCAGTCACCACTGTGCCAAGATGCCTTTCGGCTCAGACCATATACTGAGACCAAACACTTCCTGTACTCTAGGGGAGGTGGCCGAGAGAGGCTGAACCCCTCGTTCCTACTCAACAACCTCCAGCCCAGCTTGACTGGGGCCAGGAGACTGGTGGAGATAATCTTTCTAGGCATTAGGCCTAGGACATCAGGACCACTCTGTGGGACACGCCGCCTATCGAGGCGCTACTGGCAGATGCGGCCCCTATTCCAGCAGCTGCTTGTAAACCATGCGCGGTGCCCGTATGTCAGACTCCTCAGGTCACATTGCAGGTTTCCTACAGCAACCCACCAGGTGGCCGATGCCTTGAACACCACCAGCCAGCCGCACCTCATGAATTTGCTCCGCCTACACAGCAGTCCCTGGCAGGTATATGGCTTTCTACGGGCCTGTATCCGAAAGCTGGTGCCTCCAGGTCTCTGGGGTTCCAGGCACAACCAGCGGCGCTTCTTTAAGAATGTGAAGCAATTCATCTCCTTGGGGAAGTATGGCAAGCTCTCTCTGCAAGAGCTGATGTGGAGGATGAAAGTAGAAGACTGCCCCTGGCTTCGCAGCAGCCCAGGTGAGCAGGGCTGGTCTCCAGCTGAATGCAGTAAGGGTCCAAAAAAGGGAGACAATGAGTGGCAGGAGCCCAAGGCCTTAGTGCAGTGTCTTTATGCAGTCAGTGGTTGGGCAAGTCCCATCTGATGATCTCTGACTCCAAGCTCCCTCCCGCCCAGTTTGTGCTAACCAAGATTCTTGTCCAAGCCCTGGGGCAGGTTCTCAGGGCCAGGGACACTGGTGAACAGCAGGTGGAGTGCATAGTGTGGGTAGAAATACTGGCACTCGGTGAGAAGAAGCTCCAGTGAGAGCTGCTACAGGCTATTCTTGATCCCCTTGTGGAACAGTGCCTCGATGCTAAGGCCCCTGTGGTTTAAGGGTTCTGTTTCTCCCAGTGCAAAGACCTATGCGTGAGCTGTAGTGGTGCAGCTGCTCAGTCCACGAAAGGTTTAGGTGGAGAGAGGAGAAATAACGAAAGACTTTCCTACAGTGAAGATCCCTGTCCCATCTTAGTTTTGCAAATGGACCCCAGAAAGGAGAACCGAGCCTGCTGCAGGAAGGGGGACAGTGTTACTTGGGCGGTTGTAGAGCCAGGACTCCTGTGCCCTCCCTGTCCTGGTTTAATGTTAAGGTTGGTCCTCTTCCTTTCAGCAAGCCCTCCTGTCACCAATCTGTGCGTCTATGAAAGGAACCACACTCCCTATGCTGCTGCTCTGTCCTCTCCCAAACTCCTAGGATATTTACAACTTAAGGGGAAAAGATGGCAGAGCCATGTTTACCCACCGTGGGTGATCTCTGGGAGCTCCAGAGTGAGCCTATATCAATACACACACCTGGTTCTCCCAGCTGCAGCAGAGAGCCTCTGTGGCCCTTGTAAGTCATCCCACCTGCCCATGCATTGTCATCTCATCCCTTTGCAGCCCCAGAGCTCCCTTAGCCACAGCTGTCAGTATCTTGCCCAGGGTTACAGAGATGTCACTAGAGAAATACTGGAGCCCCTCGTACATCCCGTCTCCTAAGACAGATGGCTGCTCTCCTTCTGGACATAAGCTACTGTGACTCTGCCCAGCTCCCAACTTTATGATTGCTCTTCCAGATTTGTTTGGACATGTCTCTCCTACTCCAAGAACCCTTTGACTTTCAGTTTCTGTGTGGAATGTTCTCTTTTAATTTCATTCACACCTCTTCAGTTTTTTTGCTGTCGCTTTCTATCATCATAGGTTGGGTATTTGGCTACACATTTCCTTTTGGATAGTGCCTTAGCTGCACCTACTGCTTACATATATGATAATTTTGATATCAGTGGTTTGGGGCATTTTCGATCTTCCATTGTTTTTTGTTTTGATGTATTTATTACCTAGGAATTTTTAAATTCCAAATGTGAATTTTTTTTTTGATTTCCCTTTTAAATTGATTTTGAGCTCTTGTGTAGTATAGAATTTTTAAATTCCAAATGTGAATTTTTTTTTGATTTCCCTTTTAAATTGATTTTGAGCTCTTGTGTAGTATAGTCCTTATAATACTAGTTAACTGAAGGCGCTGGAAACTTGCACTTCTGCTTAGTTAGTTTTCCCAAGTTCCTTGCATTTCTGAGTGCTGAGGCTTTTGTGTTCACTGTGTCAGGTTTATACAAGAAATGTCCACATCCTTTCCAGGCCGTGAAAAAGGAAGGATGGATACCTCTGTCTATGACTGGACAACTAGAGTTATTTCTTCTTGTTCTGGTGGTATTTATAGGCAGTGTTGTTAAGTGTATGTACTAGTTACAAGCTTTTATTTATTTGTTTGAGTCAAGGTCTTACTATCTAGTTCCAGCTGGCCTGTAACTTGTTTATGACCTTGAACTCAGAGATCTGCCTATCCCTGCCTCCTGAGTGCTGAGATTAAAGGCCTGTGCCACCACACCTAGCCTGAATTTTTATCTTTCTGATTAGAGAATCAGGATATTATGTCTGTAGTGATTTTTTTTTTTTTTTTGGAAGGGGGGGGTTTAAGATAGGGGTTCTCTGTGTAGCTTTGGAGCCTGTCCTGGAACTTGCTTTGTAGACCAGGCTGGAGATCTGCCTGCCTCTGCCTCCTGAGTGCTGGGATTAAAGGCGTGTGCAACCACCAACCAGCCTGTAGTGATTTTTTAAATGTAAAGCTTTTTTTTTCCCTTTGAGACAGGTTTTTGCAACATTGCTCAGGCTGCTCTTAAATGTAAAGCTTTTTTTTTTTCCCTTTGAGACAGGTTTTTGCAACATTGCTCAGGCTGCTCTCAAATTTGTGACCCTGTTTCCTGCCTCAGCTTCTGGAGAAGTGGGGTAGCAAGTGTGTAATACACGCCCAGTAGCTGAGTTTGTCAAACTGGCTGACCTGGGCTTGCTTTTGGTGTTTCCCTGCTATGTCTTTTTCCTCCCCTTAAGTTTTGCTTTTAAACTTTTCACATTCTTATAGATCAGATAGATCTTTTTCACAGCATGTAAGTGAATTATTTCCAGTTTGCTTTCATTGGTTTTAAATTTTTTATTCTCATGGGTGTTTTGCTTGTATGTCTGTGTACCACTTGAATGCCGAGTACCTACAGAAGCCAGGAGAAGAGGGTGGGATCACCTCGAACTGGAGTTTCAGATGGTTGAGAGTCACCGCGTGGATGATGGGACTCAAATCCCAGTTCTCTGAAAAAGCAGCCAGAGCCTTAACAGCTGAGCCATTTCTTCAGCCAGCTGGTCTTAATTCTTGCTGCACCCCACCCCCCACCCCCAAAGTCTTGCTGTCTGAGCAATTGTAAAGTGCATTTCCTTGCTGCACCTGTTTTCATTCTGTTTTTACCTTTGAGCGATAGGAAGTCATGTGCACTGTTCTTTGCCAGCAGTCACCTGACATTTGAACCTAAAGGTACTTGAACTTGGGTCAGCATCTCCACTACCTTCCTTATCTCTCTGCTGATTTCATTCTGCCTTCAGTCTCTCTACTCCCAAGTTAAACATCATGCTTGTTTCTTAAGGTCACTGTTTTATTTAGTCTTATCCTTCCACATTTTCTCCACTTATTTACTTATTTTTAATGATTATTTTGTGTGTGAGAGTGTTTTGCCTGAGTGTGTATGTATATGTACTATGCCATGCCTGGTGGTTGGAGCAGACCAGATGAGGGTGTTAGATTCCCTGGAACTGGAGTTTACAGGAGGTTGTGAGCTACCATGCGGATGCTGAGAAACAGCATGCTCTTGACCACGGAGATATCTCTCCCGCCCCCGATTCCTTCTTTCTTTGTTCATTCTGCTTTCTATCTTGTGCCTCCTTCTGGGATTCTCCATTCTCCTTCACAAGTTTCCTTCATGTTTATCACTGCTTGGTAAACGCAGCTTTATCCTGGTAAAGCGGGCTCCCACGGTATCTGGAGATGATATACACAGAGTGATCTTCAGAGGCCTTCAGGAAGGACAGCTATCATGGCCTGTGGTGCATTGACCCCTTAGGTCCAGTATGACAGTGAAAACAACCTGTCCTCTGCTTGTGAGTGATCTCCAGAGGCCTTCGGGAAGGACAGCTATCATGGCCTGTGGTGCACTGACCCCTTAGGTCCAGTATGACAGTGAAAACAACCTGTCCTCTGCTTGTCCCTACACATCTCTGAACCACACTCTGCTCAGTGGCAGTGAGCGTGTAGTCTGTGACCCAATAGTACAGGCCCAGCACCCATTGAGGTTTGCCTGCGCATGTGTGTGGAAGCCCGAGGTTGACATCAGGTGTTTTCTTTAATCGCCTGGAATTGATGATTCAGATAGGATCCATCTGTCTTTGCCTCCCTAGCACTGGGATTACAGGCACAGGCCATACCTAGCTTTTCTAAGTGGGTTCTGATGAACTTGGTTTTCATGCCTCTAGCGCAAACACTTTACCAGCTGAGCCATGCCCCTGGCCCCTACCTGAAGACATTCTTAGCTTTAGCAGTTGGTAGAGGTCAGGGTCTGCTGAGTCAGTCCATCCCAAAAGATTCACTGGATAGTGAGTCACAAGGTGCTAGGTCAGATTCAGAGCTTGGAAGTGAATGGGAGTGAGAGATGGCTCAAGAGAATGCAAGTCAGAGATGCTCAAGAGCATTTCACTCTCAGTCTGCAGCGTTCTATCTCTAGTCACTAGGCATGCAGGATCCCATTACTGACATGGCTTTGTCAGAGAACTTTAGTTTATGACCTACCAAAAATAAGTCCCGTACCCCCCCCCAGCACACACAAAGGTTAAGTTAGATTATTGATGCATTCTATTAGAACCCACCATGTCCAGAGTAACACCTCGTGGGCTCATTTTGGGGTCTCATGGCTTCCATGCTGGACATCATGGGTGTGGGGTGAGTCATGGGTGTTGAGTATCTACTGCTTTCAGGAAACAACTGTGTCCCAGCCGAAGAGCACCGTACGAGGGAAAGGATCCTGGCTATGTTCCTGTTCTGGCTGATGGACACATACGTGGTAGAGCTGCTTAGGTCATTCTTTTACGTCACAGAGACCACATTCCAGAAGAACCGGCTCTTCTTCTACCGCAAGAGGGTATGGAGAAGACTGCAGAACATTGGAGTCAGGTACCACACATCTCTGTTGTCGGTGCTTGCTGTTTACGTATACTGACTTCAACAGTGCTTGGCACCTGCTAGCCTGTAAAGGCTGCAGAACATTGGAATCAGGTACCACACATCTCTGTTGTCGGTGCCTGCTGTTTACGTATACTGACTTCAACAGTGCTTGGCACCTGCTAGCCTGTCCATGGGCCTTCAGGACATAGACTCCATGTAGTCATGGACTGGAGATCCTGCTTTCTGACCTGTAAAATCTTAAGTTGGGCCTACACCATCTATAGGCTCAATAACGTAGGAGGAATTCGCACCAAACAGGAGTAGAGTAGCTGCTTGTTTGGTACATGGGTCAGATGGGTTCTACCTTATGTCCTGAAGGAAGTACAATATGAGGAGCCTCCTCAGTGGGAAACCACAAGGATCCACCCCAAGAGCTGGCGGAGGCGCTGAGTGGCTGAGGTTCTTTGCTTGTTGAGCTGGGATTTACTATACCAGTGGAAAGTACATAGACCAAGTTGAGGAGGCAGAATAGAGGCCAGGCAAGGCCTGCAGAGATCAGACTGCCATGTTAACCAAGGTTGCCCTGGCTGTCTTGAAACTAGCTCTGTAGACAAAGCTGGCCTTGAACTCAGAGGTTCTCCTGCCTCTGCCTCCTGAGCACTGGGATTAAAGGTGTGTGCAATCGCCACCCGGCTCCATGTTTCATGAAGTCCAACCCTCATTATGTGTTACATATCACCCACTGTGCTTGTGGGATCCTTAGCAGCCAACACAGGACTTCCTATGTACTTTGGCACACATGAACCTGAGGTGGGCAGGGATGCTTTTTGCTTTCACACCTGTGTCTAAGCCAGGTTATCCACAGAGTGCAGCAGATTGCTTCAAAAGTGCCCTGGCCAATGGGATCACCCCAGAAGGGAACACGAGGGCAGACTACGGGATCAGATGTCCCAAGTGCAAACACAGGCTTTATGTCATGTATCCTGCCCAGACAGTTGTGTGGGTTGCCTGGTTGTCGAGAGTTGCTATGGTCCTGGATGTAGTCCCATAGCTTGGCCAGTTGTCAAATGACCCAAGTTCCTAACCACCCTGATGGGATGTGTCTCTCGAATTTCCCACATGCTCATGTCGTAACTCCACAATGCTCTCTGTAACAGGCAACACCTTGAGAGAGTGCAGCTGCAGGAACTGTCACAAGAGGAGGTCAGGCAGCACCAGGAGGCCTGGCCAGCCATGCCCATCTGCAGACTGCGTTTCATCCCCAAGCCCAGTGGTCTTCGGCCCATTGTGAACATGAGTTATAGCATGGGCGCCAGAGCCTTTAATAAAGGGAAGCAGGTGATTGCACTTGGCTCCTGTACTGCCGCTTGAGCCTGCTCTCTGGTTACACAAGGGCTCATGAAGTTCTGAGCCCTGGGCAGACAGAACAGGAAGGACGAGGAACTGGTTGTTCCCGAGTCCAAAACTTCAGCGTGTGAAAAGGCCCTACAGATGGGAGATGGTCTCAAGAGCCAAAGGGCTTGGGACACAAACCTTGGAGATACCTCAGGGATCCTGACAGGTAGGGTAGATACTTTATGGCCTCCATGATAGGGGCCAAAGTAACCAAGAGGGCAGCTGCCTCCCTTCACCATAGCTGGATGTCCACAACATCTTACCCCTCCCGGTGCCAATGTGGGGGAGGTGGGGAACCAAGAGGGCAGCTGCCTCCCTTCACCATAGCTGGATGTCCACAACATCTTACCCCTCCCGGTGCCAATGTAAGGTGTGTGGGGTGACTTGTCATTAGTAATGCCCAGAACACAAAGTGAAGCTATTGATGCCTCAGCCCAGCTGGGGGACATTTGTGAGTGAAGTTGATCCTGAACCTGACCCCAGCCCAGTGGACATGCCTCATTAGACGGCAGTGCCCTTGGTGGTAGGTGAGAACAGGTTGGAGCAGGTTGGGTGAGTGCCCCAAATGCAGTCAAGTGACTTAGTGGGATAGGTCTTCTAAGACTCTGAGATATCAGGGTAGTCTGGGACAGTCTGTCAGGTTCGTTTCTAATGTGTCTTTTGTGGCCCTGGCCCAGGCTCAGCATTTCACCCAGTGTCTCAAGACTCTGTTCAGCGTGCTCAACTATGAACGGACAAAACATACTAACCTTCTGGGGGCTTCTGTACTGGGCCTGAATGATGTCTACAGGACCTGGCGGGCCTTTGTACTGCATGTACGCACTCTGAACCCGGCACCCAGGATGTACTTTGTTAAGGTGATCATTTGGACTCCCGCCATCACATTTGCTCCCATGGTCTTGACTCAAGGGACCTCCTTGGAGCAGCCAACACTGGGTGACCCTATTGTAGGTGGTGGTTGAGAGTGCTGGCCCCTGCTACCATATATAGGCCAAAGTTACCGTGGCCTCCTGTTCTCTCTGGAGCAGGGGGACCCCATACTTCTGGTATAGCCTTGTGTGGATTCCCTGGACAGTGCGCTCCAATTCCTCTGGGATCTACCCTATAGGAGAATCCCGTTGGATGCTGGGTCCTACTAGCCATGATTGACTCTGTCTACCACTAGGGCCTGCATGCTTCAGTATCTGTGTTAGGCAGGGGCCCTTGCAGGCTGTGAGGCTCTGCAAGGAGAATGTAGGCTTTCCTTGACCTAAGGGTCTCAATCTGGGATATTGGGCTGGAGAGAGGAATGTAGACCCACTATGCCCCAGGGTCCTTTGTCTGGAATGGGAAATTTGTGGGATAGGCACATGTGGCTAGGCTAGTACAGGAGCATGGAGTTTCTTTCTCCTGTCTGTCTATCTCCTACTGGTTTGCTTAAGGGCAGGTTGGAACCCAGACACCAAGGACAGAGCCAGCAGGACCCCTGGGCCTAGGCCCAACCATGCTTAGTGTTCACATGTGTTCCACAGGCAGATGTGACCGGGGCATATGATGCCATCCCGCAGGAGAAGCTTGTGGAGGTTGTTGCCAATATGATCAGACACCCGGAGAACACATACTGTATCCGCCAATATGCAGTGATCCAAAGAGATAGAGAAGGCCAAATCCACAGGTCCTTCAGGAGACAGGTGAGGCTATGGTGGACTTTTCATCTGTGCTGTGAGCATGCTGGTGGCACAGGGCTTTTCATGTCGTGAATATCTGGACTCTTTCAGTGACACAGGTAAGGCTGTGATAGGTCCACATTTCTGGCATGTCCATACAAGGACATGTCTGTGGCTTGGGTATCCATGGTGCCAGTGATCATTTGTCAGACCCCAGCGTGCCTCCCTCTACAGGACTCCCAATGGAGATCCCCCCAATATCCTCTTCAGTAGGTAGGTGGGGTCTGTGGGTTCAAAGGCAGAGGAATTTAGGCCTGGGAGAGGCGCAAGGTGACTTCCTTTCCCTATATATAGGACATACAAGACTCACAGGCAAGCTTTAACTATACATGCATGATATGTGCAGTGGCCATGTGGCTTCTGCACCAAGGATCACTACACCCAGGCGATTCCTTCCCTACTCTGGTCAGAGCAGCTACCATTGTGCCTCTGTAGAGGCTAGATGACAGCATGTGTGAGTTATTTTCTCCATCCACTACATGGGTCTGGGGATTGCACTTAAGTCCTTAGGTTTGGTGGTAGGTGTCTTTACTTGCTTAGCCATTACACCAATCCCAAGGAAACACCTGAAGTTATACATTTCTCTGCAAGACCCCTCAGTAGTCCCGTACACATGCTGGCTTTTGTCAGTTCATTATCACTCAGTTCAAAACCTTCTCTATTTATTTATTTATTGCAGTTTTTGATATACTCTTTAGTGATTTAGAAGCATGTTACTTCATTATTTTGAAAATGCAGGCATTTTCTATTTATATTGCTATTTTTTTCTTTATTAATAAATTTTTATTTAAATTAAAAACAATCTTATTTTACATACCAATACTCCTCAAGGAGGATGAGGCCTCTCGTGGGGGACACCAAATTCTGACACATCATTTTTGGCAGGGCCTAGGCCCTCCCCCCGTGTATCTAGGCTGAGAGAATATCCCTCCATAAGGAATGGGTTCCCAAAGTCCATTTGTGCACTAGGGATAAATACTGGTTCCACTGCCAGCTGCCTCATAGACAGCCCAGACCTCCGAACTGACACCCACATTCAGGGGATCTGGTTCAGTCCTATGCTGGTTCCCCAGCTGTCAGACTGGGGTCTGTG